GCGCTTTTTCACGTCGGGAGGACGTCCCAAAGCGCTTCACAGAACACACTGTAAAGTGAATTGACTGTATATTTGTGGGCGAACGCGGCAGCCAATTGCGCACAGCAATGTCCCACAAACAGTCGTAGATTGAAAATGACCCATTTTATTATTGTTTTTGGTTTTTGGAGGGATTATTATTAGGCGTGTGGAGTAAGGAAACTTGCCCAAGGTTTCGCCCTGACCTGCCTGGAATTGAACTCCGGTCTCTCACTTGCAAAGCGAGTGCTCTAACCACTGAGCTACAGGCCTCCACTTCAATTATTCCTAACAGAAACTGGCAAAATAACAGTGTGAAGGGCAAGGAGGGGGAAGGGTTCAAGGAGGAAATAGTTTGGGGACAGAACAAATACATTCCCACAAAAGAAAAAGGTAGGGCATCCAAACCTCCCTGGATGATAAGGAAATTGGGATCAAAATAAAACAGAAAAAGGAGGCTAATGATAAATGTCATATCCAAAATACAGATGATAATCAAATAGAGTACAGAAAGTACAGAGGAGAACTGAAAAAGGAAATAAGAGGGGCAGAGATTGTATGAGAAAAAATTAGCAGGAAACATAAAAGGGAACTCTAAGGCATTTTATAAGCATATAAGGAATAAAAGGTTAGTCAAAGGTAGGGTGGGTCCAATTAGGGACGAAAGATATATATAATAATAATATGCATTTGATATAGCACTTTTCAAGTCTTCTCGACGTCTCAAAGTGCTCCACAGAACAGACTGTAAAGTGAATTGCCCGTTATTAAGGAAACTTGCCCAAGGTTTCACTCCTCCTGGAATTGACCCCAGGTGACTCACTTGCAAGGCGAGCGCTCTAACCACTGAGCTACAGGACTCCACAAATGAAATCTTCTTGTGGAGGCAGAGGACATGGCAGATGTACTGAATGAGTACTTTGCATCTGTTTTCACAAAAGAAGAGGATGCAGCCAATGTCACAGTATCGGAGGAGAGGGTAGAGAAATTGGATAAGAATAAACCAAGAGGAGGTACTAAAAAGGTTGACGATGCTAAAGTGGGTGATGACATCTCTGGGGAGGGGAGTCAAAAGCAAAAAAATGCACAGGGGGACATAGGGATGAGTCTCAATGCAATTGTCATTGGGGACACAATGACGGGCCAGATAGTATCATTTGGCAGGCCAGATATGGCCCGCGGGCCGTATTTTGCCCACCCCTGGTATAGATCATAATAATAATCCTTGCATTTGATATAGCGCCCTATCACTTCTTCTAGATGTCTCAAAGCCCTTTACAGAATATATTGTAAAGTGAATTGACTGAGAGCGCAATAAAATTATATCATGGTTTTGCGGAATACTGATAGGGGATCAAACCTCAGAATGTCAGTGCTAGAATTGTAACTGCAATCTTTGATTAACTATTCTGATTATTGAAGGCAAAATCCTGGATACGAATTTATCACCAATAAACAAACATTTAAAAAAAATTAAAGATCAAATAATAGAGGGATACATGGGGACTTGATGGTAAAAACAATGACCAATTATTCCACCAGGCAGCATTTGAGCAGTCAGCTTTGTATTGTACAAAATGATCAGTGTCAAACCACCACATTGGAGATACACACACTATATATATATATACAAACAAATGCATACACCAGTTTTATTATTGCCTAAAAAGCACTGCATTATACAAAAATTGATGCTCCAATGAATGGGTTTTGAAGAAATGATCAATAAAAATCACTAACAAAAATTGCAAACATAACTGATATTGAAACTGATACCATTATGGTTTTCAGAAATTAGTGAATTCCATTGCAGTCCTGAAAATTAGTTTAATACAACAACACTTTGCATTTGTATAGCACCCTTCATGCGGGGCAGCATTCCGGAGCCCTTGACAGTGGCGGAGTCTCACACCGAGCCAGGGGAAGAGGGAGTGGGGAGGTGACCATAAGCATGATCACGTGGGATTTGAAAGTGGGGAGAGGGCAAGGGGGAGAGATTGAGGGATAAAGTTCCATAGTTTCTGGGTGTAGTGGCTGAAAGCATAGCCACAGATGGGGGAGTGGAGGGGATGAGGGACATACAGGAGGCCAGAGCCAGCCGAGCAGAGGCAGTGGATTGTGGAGTGGGGAGTAAACAAATCGGATAGGTAGGAAGGTGCAAGGCCATGAAGGAATTTGAAATGAGTGAGAGGATCTTGAAATTGATCAGTTCGGTAATTAGGAGCCAGTGGAGCCTGGCGAGGACAGGTGTGAGGTACGGAGTTTTGTGTGATTGCGTAGCTGGGCAGTGGAGTTTTGAATTAGTTGTATTTTGTGCCTGTGTAGCTGTAGAGGGCATTGGAATAATCCAGCCGGGAAGTGCCTTAAGTGTGGGCGAGGGTTTCAGCTGCTTTGGTTGTGAGGTACAGACAGAGGCGGGCAATGTGATGGAGGTCGAAAAAAGCGGTCGTGGTCTGGGAAAGGACGTGGGGTAGAAAGGAAAGCTGGGGATCGAACCTGACGCCTAAGTTGTACACAAGTTCAGTGAGTCTAAGGGGGAGCCCTGGGAGGTTGAGAAGTTCAGATCCTCAGGAAAGAAGATGTTGTCGAGAGCCAAAGAGTATGGCTTCCATCTTGCCGACATTCAGCTGCAGGAAATTTATGCTCATCCAGGCCTTGATGTCCATCGAATTAGTTGACAGGATATCAGTGGATTGGGAGTTGCAGCTGGAGGAAAAGTAGATTTGGGTGTCATCCGCATACATGTGGAAGATTACTCCATGTCTGTGGATGGAGATGGAGACTTGGGAGTGGGAGGAAAAACCTTTGGCGAGATGTATTATTGGAGATTTGTTAAGTAGGACTTGAACCATGTGAGCACGGTCCCACTAAGGTAGATGAGGGAGTAGAGGTGATGGAGGAATATGGTGTGATCAACTGTGTCGAACATGGGAAAGGTCCAGGAGAACAAGGAGGCGGGAGGAGCCCTGGTTACAGAGACGGAAGACGTCATTTGTTACTTTGACAAGAACAATCTTTGTGCTTTGGGCATTGCGGAAACTGGACTGTGGGGATTCGAGTAGGGAGTGGAGGGAGAGGTGTGAGCTAAGTTGATTTGAGATGTAGCGTTCCAAAACTTTGTCCAGGATAGGCAGGTTTGAAATGGATATGAAGTTTGTGAGGTTGATGGTAGCTTTTTAAGAGGAGTGATGACAGTGGTTTTGAGGGGAAGTGCGACAGAGCCTGAGGAGAGGGACTGGTCAATTGTGTCAGCCAGCAGTGGGGGGAGGAGGGAGAGTTGAGCGACCAGAAGCTGAGTGGGGTGTGGGAAAGGGAGGAGAGAGCGATGGGGGCATAGGAGCGTAGGGTGGTGCCCGTGGTAGAAGGTGATGATTGGGGCATGGGGGGAGTGGTGGGTGGGGGGGATGGGGGAAGGAGGAGAGGCAGCCAGGCGGATGTTATCTATCTTAAAGAAGTCTAGGACCTCTTTGTACTTGGCATCTCAAATAAGGATTGAAAGTGCTTTGAGGGGGGGTGTGGAGGAGGTGCTATGTGGTGGAGAACAGGACTTGGCAGTTGATTTTGGCCTTGGGAATGACTTGCGAGCAGAAAGCGGAAGCAGTATGAAGATGCTCGAACCAAAGTCCGCGGTGAACCATGAGGCCAGGTTTGGGATTTGGTCATCTGCGCTTGAGCAACCGGGTTTGGGATTTGAGGGAGTGGTGGTGACTATTGTACCAGGGGGAGCGGATAGGCTTGGAGATGGACCTCGTTTTCAGGGGGATAAGGGAATTGAAATTTGAGGAGGTGATCATTCAGCAGCTTAACGGCTGTGTCTGGAACACTGTGGGCAGAAGGCCAGAGGAAGAGAAGGTCTGAGGAAGAAGTTGGTGAGGGAATCTGGGGAAGCTTTTTCCTTATTCGGAAACAACAACAACTTGCATATATATAGCACCCGTTGCGCGGGGTAGCATCCCGGAAGGTTTCACAGTGGCAGTATCTGACAATGAGCCAAGGGGAGAGGTAGTGGGGGAGGTGACTGTAAGCATGATCAAAAAGGAAGGTCTTTAGGCAGGATTTCAAGGTGGGGAGTGAGGGGACAAGGCAGAGGGACTGAGAGAGAGAGTTCCAGAGTTTTGGGGCGTAGTGGCTGAAGGCACAGCCATCGATGGTGGAACGGAAGGCACAAGGGACAAATAGCAGGATGAAACCAGCCGAGCGGTGGCAGGGAGGTGGTGAAATAATAATAATAATAATCCTTGCATTTGATATAGGTCGGATAGGTAGGGAGGTGCGAGGGAATGGAGTGATTTGAAAATGAGAGGATCTTGAAGTCGATCCGTTCGGTGCTTGGGAGCCAGTGGAGCCTAGCAAGGACTGGTCTGATGGAAAATGATAGTGGAGGGCTTGGAGGAGGGGAGGGTGATATGAGATGAGAGGGTGATGAGGAAATTATCTGAGATGGCCTTGTCTGTGATGGACAGATTAGTGGTATCAAGGCCATGGGTGATGACGAGGTTGTGGTGGTGACCACGGTTGTGGGTTGGTGAGTTTACATGGAGGGTGAGATTTCGGGTGGAAAGGAGATGGTGATGTCAGAGGAGATGAGGCAGGAAGGTTGAAATCACCCATTTTGAGCAGGGGTTTTGTTCAGAGGGACAGGGATGAGAGGAGAGAGAAGAGATCTGTGAGGAAGGAACCAGGAGATTTGGGGGAGGTGGTAAACTTGGAAAATTTTGAAGAGAGAGGATGGATGAGAGGGTGAGGTGCTCAAAAGGAGGGAAACAGCCAAAGGAATAAGGGGATAGACCAAGGGACGGTTTGGGAGATGAGGCCACCTCTCTGGAGTGGAGTGTTTGAAAAACGGTGCGCGGAAGCAACTCTTCCCAAAAGGAGATTTCCACATTAGCCCTATTAGTGTCAGGTTCTGTCAGAAACTAGAGTGAGTGCTGATACAAATAGAGTTCAGTACCTTAAATACAGATGAAAAATGTGTACATTACCAGGCAAATAGGATGAGTCTTTAGCTTGGTCCAGTGTATCTGGAAAAGAGAAAGATATTCGGTACTTAAAGCTTTCAGTTTTTACTCTTCAAAAGTCCATCAAAGAACAACTCCATCCAGAATCTGTGATGATTATATCCTCCAATATCCTTTTTAAAATCATAACCCTATATATTAAAAAAAACTACAACTTAAGATATGGAATTCTTTAATGCAAACTGTTATTCGGGCTTGATCAACAGAATCATTCCCAAAGGAAGTGCATCTGAGAAGTAAGAATGTAAAGGGATATGGCGGGAAAACAGCTGGAAATTGGAATTAACAAAAAGGATGACTTGGAAAAACAGAGATATCAGTGGCAAGACACAATGTGCTTAAAAGTCTCCATCTTTGCTGATAATTTTACTCTTATTTAACTCCTCAGTGCATGCATAGCTTGAGCACAAAATTCACCCAATCGGATTTCTGTGCCTCCCACAGCACAGAAACAGCCCTGGTCAAAGTGACAAATGACATTCTGTCCATCTGTGACCAGGGCTCGCTCTACCTCCTTGGCCTCCTTTACCTCCTGCTGCCTTCATAACAATCTATCCACTCTATCCTCATTCACCGCCTCTCCTCTCACCTCAACCTTCACGGCTCTATCCTTGATTGGTTCGTACCTCTTACACCGTCTCCACTTCATCTCCACAAACACCTTCTGCTCTAGCCCCCGCATCATCTCATGCAGCGTTCCTCAGGGTTCTGTCCTTGGTCCCATCCTCTTCAATATCTATACGCTCCCTCTTGGTAACATCATCCGCAGACATGGGTCAACTTCCACATGTATACAGATGACACCCAACTCTACCTCTCTGCCTCCACCCTTGACTCCAGGACCATTGCTGTCCTGACCGAATGTCTGTCAGACATCAAGTCCTGGATGAGAGCCAATTTTCTTCAGTTGAACGTCAACAAGACCGAGGCTCTCCTGATTGGCTCCTGTCAGCGCTTCCTCACCTCAGGCGCTGACAGCATCACCATCCATGGTTGCACAATCCACCTTGCTAAGCCAGTCCGGAACCTTGGCATCCTGTTTGACCCTCAACTAGCCTTTCTACCCCACATCTGCACCATGACCCGCTCTGCCTTCCCCCACCTCTGCAACATAGCCTGGCTCCGTCACTGTCTCATACCGCAGGCCGCTGAAACCCTCATACATGCTTTCACTACATCGGGGCTTGACTATGCAACTCATTGCTTGTTAGCCTCCCCAACTCCTCCCTCCATAGGCTGCAGATCATCCAGGATTCTTTCCGAACAGCAATATCAATGGCAAGCTATGCAATTTTAGCTGGTTAGACTTCAGCAGTGCCCCAACGCACACTCTAGGGTCCTGAAGCCTTGGCTCTTCCCAACCTGCGCCAAATGCTTTCCATTCCAAGAATCTATCCATGGAATTTCCATGTGTGGGATGCATGGAAATCTCAGCTTGGTTTGGATACTCTTAAGCATGTCTCAGACGCCCACTGTACCATTCCAGTGTAACCTTTGTGATTAAGAATTAATAGTAGAATCATTGAATTTTATAGTACAGAAAAAGGTCATTTGGCCCATTGTGCACTTTGAAAGTCTGCTATTCAATTCAATCCCACTCCCCCGCTCTCTCCCCATATCCCTGAAAACTTGTCCTCCCCAAATAATTATCTACTTCTCTCTTAAAAGTTGTTATCGAAACGGCTTCCACCACTGCTACTATCCTCGTCACTGATTACTACTTTTCCTAGCTCAGTATCATCTGCAAACTTGGAAATTGTACTCCCTATACCCAAGTCCAGGTCACTTATATCAATCAAAAACAAAAGTTATCCCAACACTGACCCCTGGGGGACATCACTGCACACTTCCCTCCAATCAGAAATACAACCGTTCACCACTCTCCACTTTCTGTTTCCCAACCAGTTCTGTATCCATGCTGCCACTGTCCCTTTAATACCGAGGGTTTTTATTTTGCTTACAAGTCTCTTATGCTGCACTTTATCAAACTCCATATAAACTACATCAACTGCAATACCTTCATCCACCCTCTCCGTTACTTCATCAAAAACCTCTATCAGGTTTGCTAGACATGATTTGCCTTTAACAAATCTGTGTTGCCTGTTCTTTATTAATCCATATTTTTCTAAGTGAAAATTTATTTTGTCCCAGATTATAGTCTCCAGAAGTTTCCCCACTACTGACGTGAGGCTGACTGGCCAGCAGTTCCCAGGTTTATCCATCTGCCCCTTTTTGTACAGAGGAGTAACACTTCCAACTCTCCAGTCCTCTGGCACCACCCAAGGAGGATTGAAAGATTGTGGCCAGCATCTCCATTATTTCTACACTAACTTTTCTTAGTAACCCAGGATGCATCCCGTCCAGTCTTGTCCGGATCTACCTTGAGCATCGTCAACCTTTTTAGTACCTCCTCTTGGTTTATTCTTATCCAATTTCTCTACCCTCTCCTCCGATACTGTGACATTGGCTGCATCCTCTTCTTTTGTGAAAACAGATGCAAAGTACTCATTCAGTACATCTGCCATGTCCTCTGCCTCCACAAGAAGATTTCATTTGTGGAGTCCTGTAGCTCAGTGGTTAGAGCGCTCGCCTTGCAAGTGAGTCACCTGGGGTCAATTCCAGGAGGAGTGAAACCTTGGGCAAGTTTCCTTAATAACGGGCAATTCACTTTACAGTCTGTTCTGTGGAGCACTTTGAGACGTCGAGAAGACTTGAAAAGTGCTATATCAAATGCATATTATTATTATATATATCTTTCGTCCCTAATTGGACCCACCCTACCTTTGACTAACCTTTTATTCCTTATATGCTTATAAAATGCCTTAGAGTTCCCTTTTATGTTTCCTGCTAATTTTTTCTCATACAATCTCTGCCCCTCTTATTTCCTTTTTCAGTTCTCCTCTGTACTTTCTGTACTCTATTTGATTATCATCTGTATTTTGGATATGACATTTATCATTAGCCTCCTTTTTCTGTTTTATTTTGATCCCAATTTCCTTATCATCCAGGGAGGTTTGGATGCCCTACCTTTTTCTTTTGTGGGAATGTATTTGTTCTGTCCCCAAACTATTTCCTCCTTGAACCCTTCCCCCTCCTTGCCCTTCACACTGTTATTTTGCCAGTTTCTGTTAGGAATAATTGAAGTGGAGGCCTGTAGCTCAGTGGTTAGAGCACTCGCTTTGCAAGTGAGAGACCGGAGTTCAATTCCAGGCAGGTCAGGGCGAAACCTTGGGCAAGTTTCCTTACTCCACACGCCTAATAATAATCCCTCCAAAAACCAAAAACAATAATAAAATGGGTCATTTTCAATCTACGACTGTTTGTGGGACATTGCTGTGCGCAATTGGCTGCCGCGTTCGCCCACAAATATACAGTCAATTCACTTTACAGTGTGTTCTGTGAAGCGCTTTGGGACGTCCTCCCGACGTGAAAAAGCGCTATATCAAATGCAAGGATTATTATTATTATTATTATTATAAGTTCCCCATTATCACTACTCTATTGGTTTTGCATCTTTCTGAAAGCTGCTTGCAGATTTGCTCGGGTATCTCCTTCCTACTATTTTGTAGTCAAAAGTATACACCTCACAGAGTAAAAGCTCCTTTTCTGCTCCTTAACACTGACCAAACAGATTCTGTTTTTGGACCCTCTAGCACATCCAGGGACGTAATCATGTCTTTAATCAATATTGCCATCTAACCCCTCCCTTTTTTCCTCCCTTATCCCTCCTGAATTCATTGGAGCCAGGAATATTCAGCTCCCATTACTTATTTGAGCCAGGTCTCCATTATTGCCACTACACTATGTGGCAACTTCAGGCTGCAACTCACCAATCCTACTTGTCACACTCCGTGTATTTACGCACATGCACTTCAAAACCGACTTAGTCTGTTCTGCATTCCCTCCTTTTTCTGGATTACTCCTTATTACATTGCTGTTCATTTTTCCCCTCTATGTAACTTGTTTGTCCTCTCTAATGCTACATCCTGATTACCTTACACCCCTCGAAATTAGATTAAAATGCCCACAGCTTTAATTAACCTCCTTGTGAAGATATTGGTCCCAGTCCTGTTCAGGTGTTACGCATCCACCCTGTACATGTCCCACCTGCCCCAGAATTGATCCCAATAGTCCAGGAATCTGAAGCCCTCCTTTCTGCACCATTTCTCCAGCGTGCATTCATGTGTTTGATCCTGCTGTTTTGATACTCGCTTGCACGAGGCCCTGAGAGTAATCTAGAGATCACCACATTTGAGGTGCTACTTTTTTGCTTTTTCCCGATAGGACCTCATAGTCTTTTGTTTTCTACATCATGGATCCCAACAAGGACATCTTCTGGATGTTCCCCTTCCCCCTGTAGAATGGTTTACACCGGATCTGTGATGTCTTCAACCCTGGCACCAGGGAGGCAACATACCATATGAGAATCATGTCTTTTGTTGCAGAAACACCTGTCTACTCCTTTCACCATTGTGTCCCAATGACAATTGCATTGAGACTCATCCCTATGTCCCCCTGTGCATTCTTTTGCTTTTGACTCCCCTCCCCATAGATGTCATCACCCACACCGGTATTCAGTATAGAGAATAGGGGCGTAGACTACATAAGTCAGGAAGTTACGTTGAACCTTTATAAAACACTGGTTAGGCCTCAGCTAGAGTACTGTGTTCAGTTCTGGGCACCACACCTCAGGAAGGATGTCAAGCCATTGGAGAGGGTGCAAAGGAGATTTACCTGGATGATACAATGAAAGGGACTTCAGTTATCAGGAGAGGCTAGAAAAGCTTGGATTATTCTCCTTGGAGCAGAGAAGGTTAAGAATAGACTCAATAGAAGTTTTCAAAATTATGAGGGCATTCAATAGGGTCAACAAGGAGAAACATCCACCTATCCCAGAACTGGTCCCAATAATCCAGGTATCTGAAACCCTTCTTTCTGATGGGTCGGTAACCCAAAGATGCCGATTTGAAATAGTTGTTAAAAGAAATAGAGAGGAGGTGAGG